TTTGTTACGTGTTAAAACTGTGAGCAGACACCTGTGCCATCAGAAACTGATCTGTGCAATGTGGATCTGTACATGTCACAGTGAAAACATCACCTTCATTTTACTAATAAATCAGTTGAAAAATGAAAAAAATATATATACATTACTTGAAACTGGGCAAATTCGCTTCAGAATTGAATTTTATTGCATTGGGAATTAGTTTGACTAATTTCAATTTCAGTTCTTTTATAAAAGTTTCAATTCTAGAGAAAATTCTTGAGAAAGACCAAAAAGTTATTGAATATAAAATTTAGAATTTTTTATATACAGATTCCGCCACAGGTTTCCTCCTATATACAAATGTTATGTAAGATTCAGATTGAATATTAAATGATAAAAAGAGGTCTGCATGGTGGTGTAGTTTGTAGCACTGCTGCCTTGCAGCAAGAAGTTCCTGGGTCAGTTCCCGGGTCTTTCTGTATGAAGTTTGCATGTTCTCCTTGTGCATGCATGGGTTCTCTCCAGGTACTCTGGCCTCCTCCCACAGTCCAAAAACATGACTGTTCAGTTACCAGGCTTCTATAAATTGTCCTTAGTTGTGAGCATTTGAGTGCATGGCTGTGTGTCTCTGTGTTACCCCGGATAGACTGGCGAACTGTCAAGGCATACCCTGCCTTTAGCCCATACACTGCTGGAGATAGCCACCACTTTTACCACAACCCTAGTGAAATAAGCAGCAAAAAAAAGGGATAGATGAAAAAAAGATAAAATAATGCAAATTCAAAAACAAACATAAGTCTGTCTAGATATGAATTTTGGGTTTAACTGTATGTTAAAATTGAGAGTTTTTTTATGTTTAAGCAGCAGGTAGGTTTCAGAAATATTAGGGCCACTCAACACAAATCTCCCTTTGCAACGACATAAGCACAAAGATACCTACAGAACTATTAGAAGTTAGAATATTAAACTTTACTTGATAAGGCAAGTCCGCATATTACACATATTGCTATAGATAGACATTTTGCAGACTACAGGTAAGGGAGAGAAAAGAAACATGTGGTGTTGCGAACAATGAAAAAAATCAAAACCCCATTTTCATTTATTGATAAAATCTACTTAGAGCCAAAAAAAAGACTGCTTAAGATAGTAACTGAAATAAAAACACCATTTAAATGATCTTTAAATGGACCTTTAACAGTAATTGACCACATTGCTTTGGCATTAATGACTTCAATTGGAAGATCATTGCTTGAGCTGATTTTGTTCTATGCATAAGTCACAGAACCCCCACAGCGCTCGGGAACTCTAATAGGTCAAAACAATGTCTGTTTTTGGATAAATCTGATGAAAAAGGCTACAGTGCTGGCTGACCACTGGTGTTCTGAATTATGCTTGGCCAGACTTGGCAGCCAATGACAACTTAATAAGAAGGTTCTGACATGAGTAGAAATACTTTCCATGGGTAATTGACCTCTTTCCTGGACACACGCAATCCAACATCAAAAGGGTCTATCCTCAAGGCTCCAAAAGCCACTGATTAAACATTTTAGAAGTATTTCCCTTTCACTTCCTGGATAGATCTGGCATCACCATAAGAGATGTGTTTCATTAAGTTGTAATGTAAAATTGAAGTCCAATGTGCATGAGAGTAGCTAAATTTAGGTTCCTTTGTAGTGTTTGGGATTTTACAAAATAATATGATTTAAAACAGCAGTTTTCCTTAAGAAAAGTTGAGACTAAGATGAAGAATCGGAGAAAAAAAGAGTATTGTCTTACCAGCTTCCTGTGAAATCCCTAACGGGTGGAATTGAATTTTCAGTCATGTAAAACGGAGCAGAATTGGAGCAGGACCTGACAAAGAATGACATTGGTTAGGGAGATGAAGCTCAGGGGGATCCTATTATGTAGCTGTCACACAGCATTAGGGAAGACAGCAAACATGTTCAAGTGTGGATTATCGTTCACCCTTTAGAGATAATAGATATTTGCCTTAGCAAATCCATTTCTCTTTGGTTTCCTTTCCACTTTTAATAACTTCTTGCAAGCAAGCACATTTTATCTGCAAGAATGCTGACACGTGGGATGCTTGAACAACCAAATGAGCCCAAGACAGATAAGCTTATTAATGTACTTGTCAAAGCACATACAAAATTTATTTTGACATCCTTATTTTATAAAATAAACAAATGCTACCCCAAAAAGAGTTTAACATAGAAAACATCACTTAGTAAAACAGAACAAGGTCAAAATAGTACAGTGTTGACTGTGACAGTGGAGCTCTTTCAATTCTTTGTTATAGTTTTTGGCAATCTCTTGTGCAGTACTGTGTAGGTTACTGTTTTTGAGGAAGAAAATTAGATGAAAATTTGTTAATTCTTAATTTATTAACATTTTCTTCCATAAGCGGAAAAAGACAACTTTCCCATTTTTTAATGATCTTTTATATCTAACTTTAGCTTTTGTTATTTTCATCATTTTATTTTTCTTACATTTGTTTTTGGCATTTTTAAATGCTTGTGTGAAGCGCACTATAAAAATATTTAGTGTTACCATTTTAACGGCTACTCTCAAGCTCTGGGTAGAACACGTAGTCTGCTCATTGTTTTTGGGTGGAAACACAACAGTTTGTAATTCTTAACATTTGCGCAAGCATTCTTTGTAGCCCACCTGCAACACACCCACTTAGAGCCCTCCTAATTAAAAATTGTTCAAAATCAGGCCTATGTGTGGAAAAACGAGGACAACAAATCTTCCTGAATGTCATGATTTTTCTAAGGCTCAGACCCACATGCAATGAAGCCAAACAGAGAGACACAGTATAAAAGTTCAACAGGTTTTATTGAAGAGTATTTTGGTGTTTGGTGCAGAGTTCCTCCGAACTCTGCTTAGCCGGAAACTGGAAGATGAGGGGAAGACAGACTGTTAGATTCAGGCTCTGTGGGAAATTGGAGTTGTTAATCTTGAAGGAGAGAATTTGTTGCCACTCACGTTTCCAGAGAAGAAGAGACTCTTAGACTCCAGTCTGTGTGTTGGTCTTCCAGAGTTTGTTTGATTCGGTGGAGGGCGGAACAGGGTTTAACCAGAACTCGGACGGAGTGGAATGATGCAGCCGCTGGTTGCAACTCAGTTTTCCTGTGGTACTTGAACGGGTCGTGGTGAAGATGACTTCCTTACTCAGAGAGTTATCTCAGCGTGCTCAAAGGTGGCTGGATCCAAACCTCCTGTTTGGAATCCGTCGCTCAGTGTAAGACTCAGTTGATCCCACTTGGGAGAAGGCGGTCCAAAAAGGTCCAGTTTGCAGGAAGGCTTGCTGCCGAAAGGCAAAGAAAAAACAAAGTTAAGTCTCAGGGAGAAACAAGCGCTCAGCAAACTCAATGTGATCTCAGCTTGGCTAGAGGACTAAAACTCAAAAAGCAAAAACTCAGATTAGACTCAGCATAAACAAGGCTTGGCTAGAGTACCCCAAACTGGCAAACACTCTGGCGTCGAAGTAGTGGCAACCAGCAGCTTAAGAGGCACCACGGTGATGAGGCAACCGCTTGCAGGTGTGTGAGGAGGTGAACCGAAGCCAGGCGCCTCCTGGTGGTGGAAGGGAGAAACACAAAAGACAAGACAAACAGACACACACACACAAAAACTGGGATCCTGACACTGAACAGCTGTTACCACGTACATACTTGGTTTTGCTAGCTACTTCCTGTGAGGATGCTTTAGCACAAATAAGCAAGAAAACCACTGTTAAACACTTATACAAAAGACCAGAGAGTGGAGTGGATGTACAACTAATTGAGTGGCCATATTTCAAAATTGCAATAACATTCAGTTCAATCAGAGGGTGTTGAGCCATTTTACGAAGAAGAATTGGCAAACATGTAAAGCCATAGATGTGGTAGAAAACCACAGAAAACCAATTACAGTTTAAATTTCTGTTAAAGGTGTTTCTAAAAATAATGTGCTGAATTCAAAGGACCAACACACTTATCAGATTGTGAAAAATTGCTTTGTAGATAACTGTAAATCACATATATTATATTTTATAATTAAATTATGTAAACACATATAATAATTATAGTATACAAAACTTATATGATATTACATAATAATTAAAAAATATTTTATAATAATTGAATAATTTTGGCACAGCATTTTGCAAACAAATAAGAAATAATTCATTCTTTATTTCTGGCTTTTCTGGTAACAAAACATGTGTGTCCATATGGTTCTACAACACACTTGTAACAATGCAAAGAAATCAAATATGCAGACAACAATCCTAAGTTGTTTCTAAGTAAAGCCAGATGCTAAGAATTAAGCAACAAAGATCGCCAAGATGTCCAGCTGCCCATTGCTAAGTCGTCCTGTTATCAGTGCCTTTTATAAGTGTGGCGCACGCAAGGTTTGAACCAGGATGAAAATTTCAGAAATGTCTCAGAGTATTAAAAACTAGTTAATGCCTAAATCTGGAGCCTATTTATTACTTATTTTAAGGCAGTTTTTCCTGAAAAGGGAGTTTTAGGCTGGTTAATGTGCCTCATAAAAATAGATTTTTTTTTTCCAAATGTTTTTCATCATAAACTCTTGATATAAGGTTATCTCTATCCTTTTTTTGTAAACTTAAGGTAAATTTATATAACCTGTGAAGCTGGTAAGGATTTGTTGATCTATATTAAAACATTAGGAAGGAGTAAAACTTCCTGTTTAAGACTAAGTTGCCTATTTCTAGAATTCATGATATGATTAATTTGAACAAACATTGATGTTTTCTTTGGTTTTCCATTTTTCATGTTGCCTGATTTCCTTGTCTCTAATAAACAGCTGGGTTTATTCTTCAGTTGGTTCAGGTTTCTGTGTTTCTGTGCTGGACTGTTGCTCCTGTACTTGTCCCTGTAAATCTTTGACTTTCATAAAAAAAATACAACCATTAACGTAGATGTGCCAATGTCCTGGTTTAGAAAACAATCAACAAACGCAAAGCATTTACTTTTGCAAAGATTTTTTTTTATTTAAAAAACAACACTTGTTTTTTTTTTTTGATTTTACAGGAAAATAGGAAGTGAGAAAATCAGTCCCTGACTATTCCAACCACAATTTCATTTTCTCACATATTAAATACAAATCAAATGTCATATGTGTCAGCTGCTGTGAAGAAAAAAGAAATAAATATGTACAAAACACATTAAAGTTTCAACAGTATTTTCCTTTAAACAAAGTCCTTTAGGGATCCACAAATGTGAAGAAGAAGGGGCTTTGGTAGATAGAACTCAAACTGAAATTCAACCCTGAATACAATATGCTGACTGTGGTGGGAAATTAGCACTGCTCTAAACACATGATCACTACAGAGAAACAATAGAACACTGGTTTATTAAGAAAAACATAAAATAAAATAAATTGCTTCAACCCATATCACTATATAAAACATTTAATGTCAGCAGTCCCACAGCATTTACAAAAAACATTCATCACTTTCTTTTTCACAATTATGCTATTTGGATTTCCACTATATCCTCATTGTTCAATCACACTTGGAACTTTTTGTAGTTAAATTAGGTCTTCAAACTCAGATGTTTAGTGGCTTGGCATTCTTTGTCCTGGGCTTCGGCACCGGAGATGGTTGTTGCCCCTTGGCAGCTGTGGACAGCTGTAAAGGCTTAGTCTCTGTCTCAACATCAGGCTTGTATACGGCTCTTGGTGAAGGCTGTGGATTTGGAGATGAACAGCTCTTCTTATTGTCAATGTTCTCATATACTGTGCTACACTCAGGCTCTCTCTTGTTTGCAAAAACTATGCTGATTCTGTCCTCATCACAGACTTGCATTTTGGTTTTGGTGCGTCTGTATAAGGAGCATAAAATGATGTTAACGATAAGCAAAATAATAACCAGAACTACTCCTACAGCCATCACTCCCACAACAGTTTTAGTTTGAAAGCAAAGTGTCCCCACATTTTGCTTTAAAACTTTGCATGTCGGCCAAACAGTCTCACTGCTCTCTGCGCTCACTTTATTTGCCACACTACAAGAAATGCTGCTCTTCTCTTTCAGCTGGCTCAATGAAATGGTGAGAGTTTGTCTGGTTTCACTTGGTAAGGTCTTTTTATCAATAGTCCAGGAAAAAGCCAAACCCTCAGGCTTGGCAACTTGACAGCTAAGCTTAACAGTGTCACAGCTATAATGCAGTTGAGGCTTCGATACTTTCTCCATCACACATAGCTGACCAGTCCAGTTTTTAGCCAGAGTGTTGTTAAGATGCAGAGCTTCTACTCGGTAAGTCCCAGCATTTTGCAGCTTTACATTCCTCAGCAAAAAAGATCCAGTTGTAGTGATGTTTTCTGGTTTCCCCACAGTGATTCTGCCTTTCTCTCTGAGAAAAATGATCGTGTTGCCATGAGTCCATCTCAGAGTGTTTGACTTGGTCAGTCCTTTGTAAAAAAATGGTAGAGTCACACTTTCCCCAACAGCAGCATATATTTGACAGGTGCTGCTATTTGCAGTTGCAAAGCTTATCAATCCCAACAAAAGTATTTGACCAAATGTGGCAAGAAAATACATCATCCTTTGCATAAAATGATATCCTTTAAAGTCACAAAACGTCTTTCAGGTCCTGATGGCTTCTAAGTTCTGATCAGGGCAAAGTCTTGTAATTATTTTCTGTTTTTCGAAAGCTTAGATATATGTTGCTAAAAAAAAACTCACTTCCGATCCTAAAAGGGAAGTGCATCTTAAGCAAGACGGGGTCAGTTACTCAAAAGTCTGGAGTCAGTTTCCAAAAATGTTCTGTCACCATCATGTGACAGCCTACGTTTTCACCAAAATCATAACATGGAATCAATCTGTTAATCACAAAACCCTTTTGCCTTGCCAAGTCAATCACATGTTCATATTGCACTTTAACAGAATTAAACAAAGTATTTGCCACATCTTTTCTAAATGTACATGGTGTGCATCGAAATGTCAATGCATACAGCTTACAACAGTGAATTGGCCAGCTTACAACGGTGAAATGAAAATTTCCATTTACAAAGTGCAGCAGTGATCAGAATGTAAAAATTGTAAGAGAAAAAGTAAAAGTTTGATTTGTGCAGATTTTTTTCCACTCCTGTCTCTGTGCCCCACATCTGAGTGGGACAGATGATGAAAAGTTATTGAAAAAAAAAAAAAATTAAAGACAACCTCAGCAGCTTTAAAGCAAAGCCACGCTTCACGAATCTGTGCAGCATCTCTTAAACTAGAACATATAATATTTATATGTCTATATGAGAGGTGATTCTTAGAAAGGGATCTGTAAAATTTGTCAAAGTTTTTCTTTTTTGATACAGGGGAGAATGATAAACTGCACTTACTTGCACTTTCTGCCCCTAGTTATTTAGTTTTTTTTGTGAGGCTCAAAGAGGATCACTATTTAATATTCATTTTCTGTCAACCTGATGTTTGTTGAATTTCTTCTCTCTCGACGAGTGATAAGCTGCACTTTCTACTGTCCCCTTTTGTTTTTACAAGGATCAAAGTATGACTTGTTTATCCATTTCTTTTCTCCTGATTTCCTATCATGGGTAAAGTATTCTTTTTTTTTTACATTGATTGTTTATGCACGAGTCTGTCCCCCCTGAAATATATGTGCTGTGCGACAAACCTGACTGTTTTCCCGTGCAATTGACAGATTTGATTTTGTATTTTCCCTCAGCGGATGTGTTTTACTTTGTTACTGTGTCTGTCTTCCTGTCAGACCCAGGAAAGTACTGCTGAATTATTGCATAGTGTGACTAAAATAGACCAGGGGTCTATCTCAATCAAAGCTACGCCAGCCCCTTACAGAAAATCCTGTTAGGTGTGTTCATCCCCATTGATTCTTAATGAGAGCTAAACACCACGACCTAGTCTGACATTATTTTCTGTCAGATCAGACAGAAAATCAGATTCGGTGTTCAGGGCTTTAGGTAAGTTCTAAGAAATAAGCTCAACGGTAAGAACAAGGTCCAGGCAATCAACAGCTATGCCTTGCCAGTAACCAGATACCCTGTTGTGGTACTGATTTGTCCTCAGGAGAAAATTCAGGCTACTGATGTTAAAACATGGAAGCTAGTTAACATGCATGGTGGATTCCACCCAAATTCCAGTATCCACAGGCCATACACCAAGCATAAAGAAGGATACGGTGGCCTAGTGAACATCAGAGTTACCATTTTAGATGAAACATCCAAGCTCCAAGGATGCATCAGGAAGATGGCACCAAGTGATGAAGTGCTAAGTGAATGTCTTTCAGTGGAAGCTGGAAATGAAGGAAATGGAGGAACAGTTATTGGAGGAAAAACCCTGCATTTGATGTACCATCGACAGATAGCTGAAGTGGCTGATATGAGCAAATCCTAACATGGGCTAGAGAGGACCGGGCTGAAGGGCAAAAAAGAAGTACTAATTATGGCAGCACAGGAGTATGCCTGAGTACCAGAGCAATGGGGGAACAGATCTATAGTGGTATAGTGCATAGAAGCATCTGCGCAGAATACACCGGGAGACCCGTGGGTCAAAATGGGAGCCACCTCCAAGAGTGCGGAGAATGATAGAGCTATGATCCTGTGAGACTTCCAGATACTGACAAAATGGTTGTGGTCAACCAGCCAGACATTATGATAATTGATAAGCAGCAGAGGACGGCCGCCGCGATCCATGTGGCCATCCATAGTGATGCAAACATTATAAAAAAAGAACGAGAGAAATTGGGGAAAAACCAAGGCCTTTGGGAAGAACTACAGAGACCCTGAAAGTTGAGGGCAACTGTAATTCCCTCAACTGGAAGGTGAGGGCAATACCCCAATTGGGGGAGTGGCGTTCTAGTGGTTAGGGCATAGAGCTTGGAATCCTGAGGTTCTGAGTTCGAGCCCCAATCCCACAGACTGCCACTCTGGGTCTCTGAGCAAGACCCTTAACCCCACTGTGCTTCCCAGGGGCATGGGTAAAGTGCAGAGGTAAATTTGTCCGATGTGAGCTCAATAAAGTTCAACTATTATTATTAATGGCTATGGTCATCAGAACTCTGGTGCAGTAACCCCCAACATTGGAGAAGTTGCTTCAACAGATACCTGGGGAACCATCAGACATCTTAGTCCAGAGGTGTGGAGTGATAGGACAGCTAAGATACTGAGAAGACCCCTCAAGCCCCCAAGCCTCTGGTAGAGAACCTGACCTTCAGATGAAGGAACCGCCCACCCCACCCAGGAGACTGAGGGGTGGGTGAGAGAGCAATTTCTTTTTTCTGTGTGTATTTTTATACACACATGTAATTATATTAAAATCTACAGTGCCAAACAGGAGTGATGAAATGAGAAAGAGATATAAAAATGAAAGATCTTCCAAATGAAAAAGGCTGTTACTTAGTCTTTTATTTTGTAACACACTTTAATCCAAAGCCTCACTACTGCATGCAGTTTTAACAGTTTTCTTTTGTTTAGATATGGTCTTAATTTATTCAGTTAAATTCACAGTTTATAATCAAAGCAAGAAACCATTCAATTAATTCATTGCAGCTACTCCTGTAAATTGTTGTCATTATTTAGAGAACAACCAGGAATACCTATATAATTCTACGATCCAGGCTATCTCCAACCCTTCAGAGTTGAACCATCTTGGCATAAACTACATTTGAATGAGTTCATTTTCACCCCCACATGGTTTCATTTCTCACATTAGCAGTGAGTCACACTGTTTCTGTAACTCTCCGAACTTTCAAAGACATCCAAAGCATGACAAACACCTGCTTCTCCAAGCTTCACCATCATTACATGTTTTCCCTCCCTGAGGGGATGGTTGGATTTGCGGTGTCAGCTATTCAAGGATTGCAGAGTACAAAGACAAAGACAAGTACAAAGCAAGGCCTTAAATTCCCATCTTAAACAAAGAAAATGTAAAAACAATAAAGGTAATAAAAAAAAGTCTACTAAAAAAGTTCTACTTTTTTGTTTTCATTGTTCATAACTCTGTTGTATGTAGGCAAAAAACAATGAAACCAGTTAAAGTTTCAAAATTGAAATCTTGCAAACCCTTCAATAGACATTGCAATGCTTTGAGCCATATTTTCATTTCCCTATTCAACATCATGCTCTAGTGTGATTACAGAAAAAAAAACTAAAGGTCAGCATCTTGACCCTGTAGCATATGTTTCCCTTCAAATTCAGTGTTTCTGGAGCAGAGCCAGTTCCATGAAAACATATTATTGTCCTAATACGCTCAGACTGCTCAGTGCTGAAATAAATCCTGGACATTTTATTTGGAATGTTAATGGAACCACTCAGTGAGAGTTAAATCATACTTCCTGCATCCTGTTAAACTGGAAATATTTTTCCACGGATGAATAAATCTGGTGTTTACATCCCGGTGCTCCAACATGAAAGGTGATTTACATAATCAAGAAGAAATATGATGATTGATATCTTTTTTTTCCCATTAGACTCATAAAAAAATCAAGCTCCTTAAGCAGTATAATTCACTGGGCCAAACTTTAGTGGACCAGAGGAGACAAACAAGCTTAGAAGGAAATGTGTCCGACAGCTGCTGACTTCTGCTTTTTTAGGCAATGGTTCCCGTGTGGCGATTTTGCATCATTGCGTCACATGAGCTTGGGTGCATGGTGACAGAGAACTGACGACATTGTGGCATTCTTCATAAATGACTTGCATTATTTTCCAAGCTTGACCTTTAAGGTTTCTTAACATCTCGTGACTGCAAGAAATTATTTTTAAATGATGTACTCAGACTATTATTACTGCAGTCATTGTGAGTGAAATCACATCACCCATCAGGCCAAATGATTTCCTACAGATAAAGTACAATACACTTCTAAGATCAAATACTTTTGTTAATCAATGCCCTTCTCAGTTTATTAGCTTCACAGACACATCTAAAGAGGTTAATTGGCTTTGCTTCCCTTGTCCCTTAATTTCTGGAGCAGGGAGTCTGTCTGGCAAGCTGATGTTTAATTCAAGGTCCAGATGGAGCCCCAGCAGCCTGACTGGGAGATCTTTAATGATCTCTCTCACCAGACATGGCTGTGGTTCTGGATGGCCCCAGGGGATAAATGGGTCTGGATGGTCTCTTCTGCAGTCAAAAGAAAACCAAATGGTATTTTTTTCTTCTTTACTTCTTCATTTTGGATAGGCTTCGTTGATGATGTTGTCAAAAGTGTTTAAGATGAGCTTAAATGCCCCCAAAACTCATATTTGAGAAATATAACTGTAACTTAATGGGACTGTTGTGGTCATATCCCTCAAGGACATCTATGACATTGCAATACTTTTTGTTTTGACAGGCACACATTGCGCTCAAGCTCAAGTTTCAAGATTAATATTCTGCAGTGTGACATCACTATGTTGTCAGATTGCCATTTGGCCTGTAGACAACATTTAGGAGTAAAACTTTATGAATGAATATGCATTACAATTTAGGTCTATCTCATTCATTTTAGTAATTAATTTTATCTAAAAAAAACATGATTGATAATCTGTAACATCTGTATCACATAGCTCGAGTAACTTACTAAATATTTTTGCAATAGATAACAGTGTTGATATTCTTATCTATTTAATAAACTGCGTATGGCTATTTGCAGTTTAGACTTTCTCTAAAATGTTAAAATAGCTGTGAAAAGCCCAGCTGCACTGCTCACA